CACCCCCCGCCCAGTGTCCAGATGCTTCCCACAAAGCAATTGGCCTGCTAGACACATTGCCCACCTGATTCCTCTTGCCTCCCTGAGATGGAAAATGGAATCCGGGGTGTAAAGGGCAAAACTTCAAAACAAAATGTTTGCAAAGGACCAAAGGTTTTTCTGTGTGTGCTGTGTTGCCCTCTGATGGGTCTTGTAGAGTATATAACGGAAAGAGTTTAGCAGATAGGTGACAATTGCTAAATTTTATTGATATGTCAGGGCCATGTAGTAGAAGGTGCAATTGTCAGTCTCTAATATGAATTTGTCATCTTCACTCTGTGTGTATGCACATACATACATACGTGTACACATAAGTGTAGGGATGCACTCACTCCAGGTGTGTGCGTGTAGAGTCCAGAGATTGATCTTGGGTGTCCCATCTGTCTCTCCACCTCATTTTTGACACAGGGTTTATCAGTATACTTGGAGCTCACTGTTTTACCAATACTAGCTGGCCATGGGACATCTGGGACCGGCTCTCCGTCCCACCACACACATTTTTTACATGCATACGGGGGCTCCTGACTCAGCTCCTTGTGTCTGCACAGAAAGTCTTTACTCACAGCTCCATCTCCTGGGCCCCCAGCTTCTCTCTCTTTTTTGATGAGCTGGTAAGGCTCGTTTAAGTGGGGCCGCACGCCTCCCACAGCAAATACGCTGTGGACAGAGAGAAGGCTATAGCAGAACAGGATGTCAGTGTCTGGGAATCTTAGGAAGACACACCTTAAAGACAGTGCAGACATGCCGATTGGTGCAGAGATAACAACTGGCCTCCCTGTGTGTGTCTGAAGCTTGAGTAGAGACAAATGTCCACCTGGAAGGAGCTAGAACTCTTGCTGCCTCGGTCTACAAATGCCGCTACAATCCGACTTGTTCATTTATTTCACTGAAGACAGGAAAGCTCTCTGGTCCAGTCTGTACCTCCCTGAGGTTTGCCCTTGCTGCATTTGACTCCCATGCTGGCTGTTTCTGATACCTTTCGGCCTCTTTTCCCTGCAGCTGTTCAGAATTGTAAAAAATAATAATGCCTAAAGGGACTGTGAGTTTCCTGCTAGGGTTCACTGTGACCCACGTGAAATATCATAAACCCTCTCAGCCGCACTGGCTCAGAAAGCAAAGGATTAGCTTTGAGACAGCCATCGGGTCAACTGACAACTTGCATGCTAAATAAAAATGAACACTCATCCCTGCTCAGGAACAGGCATCGGGTTAAAGAGAGGTCCCTCATGTTACCATTTCCCATGGCAGCTGTGGAAATAGAAGAGCTTCTCTTAGAACTGTACCCCCACGGTATCCCCTCAGCAAGCCAGCAGTGACTCCTGCCATGCCCTCGCCCCGGGTTCATCCCCTCTTGCTGTGCACTTATACACTCCTGGATTCCTCCACACCACCCTATGAGTAACAGCCCCACTGATTAATGTCATCAGGTCTCCTTCATTTCATCCCCAGGGGAGGGAGACGTGAGACAGAAAGCAGCTGACTCAGAGTCGCACAGGCTGGACTTTAAGGTCAGCATTCAGCTGGGCTCCTTGGAACCTAATATCCAGTCCTCGGCATCTCTGTGCTTTGTGTCAGACAGTGATACAGGGCGGGTTAGACACTGAGAGCTACAGACATGAAATAAAACCCGAGTAACTGAGTAATTGAACGACAGCGACACAGGGCCGCATGCAAGAAGCCGTGACGTAGCTCCAGTCCTGGGTGAGGCTGTAGGACCATACTCATCCCAGAAGCTACTCAGCACAGGAATTAGAATTGTTATTGTTATTTAGATGATTCGAGCTTTGTTAGTCCCTGGAGGTTTTCTGACCCATCCTAAGTGTCACAGCTAACTAAGACTTCATATAGCATTGGTCCTATTTGACACAGACACAGGAGGAACACAGTGAAAAGCCAATGACAAGGGCTGCCACTGCCCAGCAACCATGGCTGTCGGAGGTTTGTTTTCTGATTAACTGCTGGTGAGTGGGGCTAAAAGGGAGAGACTAGCACAGAAGAGTTGAAAAGATCCGTTGGACCCCGCGGTGCCCACTGATACCGTTAATAGAGAAAAGCTATGTGACAGTGATGGAGGCACTTAACTTAGGATTCCGCCTTTCCGGGTGTAAACACGCTCTCCATTTTCAGTTGTTTCATGGGTTCCTTCGAGCAGGTGTGTTGTGCCCACCCTCCAGTTGGTGACCACAGAGGTGAACTTTGGACGCTGCTTCCTGAAGTACCCATATGAGAAGACCATCCAGCTTGTCAATCATGATGTCCTTCCCGGATGCTATAAGGTCCTGCCCCAGGTGAGTTCCTTCATCCTTCTTCAGTGCTGAGCTCTATTCTGGTGGGCTCCCTCAGAGAGAGAGAGAGAGAGAGAGAGAGAGAGAGAGAGAGAGAGAGAGAGAGAGAGAGAGAGAGAGAGAGAGAGAGGAGAGAGAGAGAGAGGAGCATCCTTCTGAGAAGCCGCAGGCCGGTGCACACGCATGACCTCCTCTGCATCTGAACTCTAGCTCTCAAATGAGTTGGGTGTTGGGCTTGGAAGGCACAGCTGGACTTCTGTCTGTGTGAAGGAGCAGCTGCAGGTGTAAACCGCTGTTAATTTCCCAGGGAAATTGTCCTTGATAAAGAAGGGAAAGTGTCAATTAAGCCAACACGCAGAAGTGCACCTGCAAATAATTGTCTGCAAATTAACCAAGCTTGGGAAATGAGCTGGGAGACTTCGTTTGTGCTCATGGCCATGACTGAATAGCATCACCAAGACATGACAATGAAGTGTTTATTAATGGACCTTTTGGACCAGAAAGCTAGGGGTTACACAGGAAGAGAGACTATGTCTTGATGCCTATGAACGATAACCTTCTATACACCATTGCACCTGGCTACCTGGAGAACCAAACAGGTCACATATGCACAAAACTCAGAAAGGATTATATAGACTAGAGAAATAGAGGGTCACCAATGACCTGCAGTTTACCAAGAAAGCATTTGGGTTTAAAATTTAGCTCTGTGCATATGGACTGCAATATAAATCCATGGGGTGGGAGGGTAGTTGGGAGGTTTATAGTCACTTTTGCTATGGCGAAACACCATGACGGAGAACAGCTTGTGGAAAAAATAGTTCCAGAGGGTAAGAGTCCACCATGGCCCGAGTCCACCATGGCAGGAGGCATGGCAGCAGGCAGTTTGAGCAAAAGTTGGTTGAGTGTATTTCAACACACAGGGAGCAGAGAGAGGCTACCAACCCCCAGCAGTGCACCCCCTCAAGCAAGGCTCCTCACCCTAAAGCAGTACCACCAGCTGGGGACCAAGTGTTCAAATGCCTGATCCTAGGAGACACATTCCTCATTCAAACCACTACCAAGCTTTATTTGGCTCCAAGTTAGGTGTTTCTGGGGACCATGGGTCAACAAAGATTTGGGCGGCTTCTGAGATATACAGCGAAAGGGAGATGGCAGCCACTGGTCAAAGCATGGCCAGGATTTTGTCTTCAGCTCTTGTCATCTTTTGTAATGAAAGCTTGGGGAGGGGAGAAACATCATGTTTAGAGTAACCAAAATGTCATCTGCAAGTCTAAGTCATAAAAAGAGCTAACTCATGTGTTTAAATTGAACAAAGAAGGCTTATCCAGGACACGATCACTAGCCAAAGGACTATTACGTAGGAGAGGAAGCTGGAATTATTATGTGGATTTCTCTAAGACATTCAGAAACCAGGGACCAAGCTCTAGGATACATCCAGCAGAGACCCAAGAGCAGAAGAGGGGGGCCCTATGTTGTGCATGGTCATAGCAAGAATTGAGAGCAGAGCTGCAGGGTCAAGGGAAGCACTTTCAACACAGAAGCTGGGAACCAGGTAAAACCTGCCTCGGGTGCAAAATTAAAGGTGAAGCTTACACAGCCATCAAGATACTTAGTATTTTTCGCCACATGTTCTAAGATATTAAAATAACTTTAAAAACTATAGCAGGTAAAATATCAATATTTGGATAAAGATCAGTGTTATAGACTTTTTTTCTTTTGTCTCAGGCTCCAGGGACTCAGCCAAGGCATGATACACAAAGATAAGAGTGTGTTAAGCTGTGTTAGGCCAGACCAGATGCAGGAAGGGAGGGGTTTTCTAGAAGGGAGAAGACTGCATGCTGAGCCTTTCTGCCAAGAGCTAAGGCCTCTGGTAAGGTTTTCAGAATCAGACCTACAGGGGAAGCTTTGGGCCAGAAACTGGGCTTGTGAAAAAGAAGAAGCTAGGCTCCAAAATATATCCAGCCCCTAGAGATGATGACATGCAGGTGGTCCCATGCTATAGAAAAAGAATTCACTGATGCTCTCGGAGCAAGGCCTCACCTCTGCAGCCTTTGGGAGCCAGGTAACTGGAGCAAATTCAAGCAAAAGCCCCCAAGGCAGGTCAGGGAGAACAGCAGGCTGAGAAGGAGATCCCAAGAGCAAAGGATTGCAGGTGGGATGAGAACCGCGTGCTCAGGAGTCGCTGGAGTCATGGCCTCCATTAATGGGGTGCAAAGGTCTATGGCAATGGGAAATGAAGCATGAAGGCATAAAGGACCTAGATATAGACCTTGGCCACGAAAGGCCATTGTCGTGAATGCCTGCTGTGCTCATTCTGCACCTCGCTGTGCTGGGAACTCAGCATCTTTTGCCTCATCTACATTCCACTTAACCTTATGTCCTTTCAGCTGAACCAGGGTCTTTATCCCAAGACTGCTGTAAATGATGAGCGAGACACCCCTTCCGTGGATGCAGAACGACTGTTGTTTCAAAATAAACCAATACGACATTTGTTCCTTCTTTTGTCTCTCTGTAGCTGTATGAGAATCCGCCCGCTGTCCTGCTCTCCAGCCCCTCCCCCTGCGGGGTCATCCCCCCACACAGCACCGTGCACATACCACTATCCTTGGAGACCCAGGTCACTGGTGAACACAGATCCACAGTTTACATCTCCGTCTTCGGGAGCCAAGACACCCCTCTGGTGAGTCACTTTTCAGAGTCGCAATTGAAGTCACATGCTCCGCTACCATAGTGCTTTTATCTTCTTCGCTGACAACCTGTCATCACTGTATATCCTCTGGTTTCTGTAGTTTCGGGACTTTGTTTTCATTCTACAGTACTAAAACACATGTCACCTTACCTAGGAAAGCTATACATAGATACGCTCAAACATTGTAAGGTGGTTTAGTAATTGCTCTTAAGTCTAACCTAAGGACCAAAATTTTTCATATGCATGCACACGTGTACACACACACACACACACACACACACACAGAGTTATCTTCTCCTTGGTCATCATCTCTGTATGCTTAACAAGCTCCTCAGTTGTTCCCAGAGCAAAGCCAAGTTTGACTGTCACTCAGTCAAGAGTGCAAGATCAGTTTCATGCCCAATTTCCCAGATCCTTTCCTTTAGAGCAACTACATTAACTGTTTACCTACCAAAGCTGTTAAGAGTCTCCAAGCAAGGTGGGACAGAAACACTGAACATTGCTGCTTAGGCTGAACCAATAAATCTTGAGTCTTGATGGAGGTTGTTTCCCTGAGATTCGGTTTACATGGAAGTTGGGTGGTGCCCACGGAGCTGATTCTGACTGCCTAGAGAGCATGATGAGCTAAGGTTTTCTCTGGCCGCTCCTGTAGAAGATACTATCGGTGACTAGCAGCAGGCCAGCAACCCCCCACCCCTGCCATGGCTCACTGTGAGCACTCCAGCCCTGCACAGATGCAGCTGGGGAGGAGGTAGCTAGTGCTTTAGGGAAAACAAGGGCCCATGTAGTTCAAAGTGTGGATTTCAGCCACCAACCTGCACAGCTAGTGAAGAGCTCTGCCTGTCAACTGTTAACAGAATGACAGAACTGGGCATCAAACCAGACACTTCCAGACAGAAGCACTGACGCTTGACCTCATGTCACGTGTTCTCAAGACTGAAGGACTGAGTGGGGCATATGGCTCCAAGAGTCTGAGTTTCTCTACTGTGTGACCCTGGGCTGCCCTAGAGAAGCTGACCATCCCAGGGATGCATTCCAGGCTAGACAGACATGTCTGACCACATGTGCTCAGCTCTGCGTCCCTCTGACCACAGTGGGAAGGGGCTGTCAGCTCACATCAGCACCCTTCGCACCTCTTCTGTTTTAGAGGAGACTAGAGCTTTTGTTTTCACCATCCCTCTTAAGGGTAACCATTTCACCTGGCCCTGTGTTCTTTCTCTTGTGGAACTCAGGCATGTCATATACAGAGCATCGGAGAAGGCCCGGTTATCTTCATACATCCCACTCAGGTTGATTTTGGCAACATCTATGTCCTGAAGGACACTTCAAGAATTCTCCAGCTGTCTAACCAGTCCTTCATCCCTGCATACTTTCAGGCTCGCATGGTGAGTAAGTCCTGGGCTATCACAACTTTGGCTGATGTCCCAGCGTCCCAGTTTCCCTAATATGTGTTTAAAAATGAGCACCAGAAGCAGTTTGAAACTATGCCATTCCCATCCTTAATTCTCCTTATTATAATCCTTTTATTAATCAAGAAGCACAATATGCATATCTGGTAAGCAAACAGATGTATTTCATATGATCCCATATGTGAAGATAATTTAGAAACAACCAGCTTTTGCTATTAATTACTGAACACGCCTAAGCCCAGTGCCAAACCCTCTGAAGAACATTGTCTCTGTAGCTGGAATCATTTCTCATTAGACTCCCCTTAGGTATACATTTCTTAATATATTTACCCTATTTTTTGTTCTCCCCTTTCTTCGGAGAGTATTTCAATACAATTTATAAGGATGTATGGGATAGAGAGATGGTTCCACAGTTAAGAGTGCATGCTGAGTTCAGTTCCCAGCACCCATACTGAATGGCTTACTCCAGCTACAAAGGATTCAGCACCCTCTTTTGGCTTCCTCTCATAGGGAGTTACACTAATAGAAGGTGTGGCTTTATTAGAGTAGGTATGGCCTTGTTGGAGAAAGTGTGTATGGGAGGAGATGGACTTTGAAGTCTCATATATGCTCTAAGCCACACCCATTGTCTCAGTTCACTTCCTGTTGCCTGCCAATCAAGATGTAGGACTCTCAGCTCCAGCACCATATCTGCCAGCATGCCATCATGTCCCATCATGATGATAATGGACTGAACCTCTGAAACTGTAAGCCATCCCATTAAATGTTTTCCTTTATAAGACTTGCCATGCTGGGATCATGGTATCTCTTCCTAGCAATAGGAACCCCTATAAGACAGACACAGACCAATAGAACATCATATGGCAATGCTTGACCACATCTGCAGTTTGTGTGCGCTGCAGCCTTTATACAAAGCTCAAGTGACCTGGGGTATTTTTTTCTGGAGGAGATACATAGACATCTGGAGGAAATACATAGATGTCTGGAGGAGATACACAGACATCTGGAAGGGACTAACGCACATTGGTGCGAACAGTAAGGAGCCATTCCAGAATCTTTCACAGGACAGGGCCAGGCTCAGGTCCATGTAGGACATATAGCCCTGAGAGTGACCTGGATTGTAGATCACAAACGAGCTGAGAAGTTTTGGAAAGTCATATGAATATGGCCTGTAGTAATGAGTTGCAGGCAGGCCTGCTTTTCATCTCACCTGGCTCCTGCAGGGCTATCTTAGCCCCAGAAATAACAACACACAAACTGTATTCATTTAAACACTGCCTAGCCCATTAGTTTCAGCCTCTTATTGGCTAATTCTCACATCTTTATTAACCCATTCTAATAATCTGTATAGCACCATGAGGTGGTGGCTTACCAGGAAAGATTCAGCGTGTCTGACCTGGCAGCTGGCTCCATGGCATCTGCCTCACTGCCTTCTTCCTCCCAGCATTCTGTTCTGTCTACTCCACCTATCTAAATCCTGCCCTATCAAAAAGCCGAGGCAGTTTCTTTATTAACCAATGAGAGTAACACATAGACAGATGACCCTCCTCCATCAAAGGCCCACTGTTTATTGTGTGATGGACAAGCTGTGAAATGTCTGACACCCATTTTAGTTCACTTTGTAAGGGTTTCAGCTCTGGGGGGAGTCAAACCAAATGTGACAGCATATACCTATAATCCCAGGAGTCATGCATTCAAGGGCACTCCTGGCTACGGAGTGAGACCTTGTTTTGAAAAAAAGAGAAAACACAATGAACAGCTGGAGAACCTGAAACCTCAATTGAAAAATCAGTCCAAGGTCACCTCATTATAAATGACAGACTCCAGAACTGACCACTAAGCCATGTGACTCCAGAACCCACACTTCCAATCATGACCCTGCCCTGCCTCCCTTGAAAAGGCTAACATCAGTTCTTCTGCGCCTCCCTGTTGCCCTCCAATCAATTGTCTGAAGCAGCAAAATGACTCATTTCAAGGGAGAGGAGTCTATGACTCCAGATGCCATTTAGATGATGAAAGGGAGCCAGGCCTTGGTGAGTTCTTCATTGTTCTTGCCCCACGGAGAATGGATCATCTGCTGAGATAATAGAAGTCTAAAGCAGTCCCTCTCTCCACACGTGGGTTCCTGTTGTCATCTGCTTCCTCTTGTTTCCCGGGAGGGAACCTCACAGGTCTCAAATGGCAAAGGAGTCGTTGTTTTCAAGTGAACAGTGCTATTTTCTTCAGGCTTCATAGTTATTAGCCCTGCAGAGCAGCAGGCCTGCCGAAGCCTATACTGCCAGTGTGACACGTGCAAACAGCAGCAATCACTTCTGCCTTTTACGGAAAATATTAAATACACGAGACAAAAACTTATATATAAAAAAAAAGGTGCCGGCTGGTTTGCCATGGAAGCTGAGCTTGCATAAGAAATGGAGGGAGGTAGCCCGTTACCAAATCAAAAGCAGATGTTAAACTTGGACGTGTGGAACCTTGGGAGGAGGGTTTATCAGTAATCACAGTAGGGCATGGATTCTGAGCTGTAAAAGGTCACAAACCCTCCATCCTTCCCACAACCATGTTCACCTGCACACAAGCATGTACTTCCTATGTATGTTGGTTGTGAACTGGCAAAATGGCTGACTTCCCAGCCCTAAGTAGCTGCAAAGGCAGACATCCATTGCTGAAGATCTTCTTTAAAGGTTAATTTTTATTTATGTGTATGTGCCTGGGGTGGGGGTACCAGAAACCCAACTCCAGTGCTCTGCGGGAGCTCGAACCCCTGCTCCTGCATAGGCTTATTTGTCTGTGAGACTCAACTCATCCCGAGTACTTAACCGCTGAGCCATCTCTCCAGCTCCATCTGATGTTTTAATGGGAAATTTTTGGAGGGTTTGCTGTTAGCATCTTTTGAAAGAAACGTATGGACACTTGTGTTAATTTTCTATTGCTACGTTTTAAATTGCCATAAATCTAGGATTTAAGACAATACTAATTTATTATTGGTTTTTATGGGCAAATAACCCAGGCCTGGCATGGCTGCTTCCTTCTTATCGGATCACCAAGGACTAAAATAAGTATGTTAGCTGAGTTGTATTTCTCTTGGGAGGGGTGGCTAGGGAAAGGCCCACAGCTGGGATCCTCAGTTTACTGGCAGAGTTTTGCTTTGCAGTAGAAATTTCCTGTCTCACTTGCCGTCAGCATGGATGCCTCTCAACTGTTACTGGGACACCACAGCTGCCCTATCACGTGGCGTTTCCTTTAGGTCGCTAGGACTTGGCATTTCCAAAAGTTGAGCCTCCTTTTGGCCCACTGAAGATGTCTCCCCATCTGAAGGTGAACTGACTGACTTAGGACCTTAGCTGTGTCTGCCAGGTCCCTTCCGAGGAGCACCCACATTAGCATGTGACTGAAAATGGAGAAGACAGCTGTGTCCCAGGAGATGGACATGTTAGGGCCCATCTTAGAATTCTCTCTACCACTGATTACCACCCACTTCTTTCTGGCAAGAATCTTAAATTCTTTCTCAGAATCCATCTTTATTTTCTCAGTGTCATAATCTATATTTTTTTTTCAGCAAAACACTATCGAGCTGTAATTGTGCTATATGAAAGCAGTTCAGGTTTGAGTGAAATGACGATAACCCTATGGTTTACGTTAACTTACGAGGTGCTAGAACCTCACACGTGACTGCAGTTAACCATCGCCACCATGGTGTGTGGAAGACACAGTCGATACCCAAAGCTAATTAGGTCAGGAGGCTAAATGGGTGGTACCTTAGTTACTTTCCTGTTATCACCATGATCAAGGCGATTTATAGGAGAAAGGGGTTTATTTGGCTAATGGTTCCATAGGGCTTACAGTCTGTGGTAGCGGAGTAGAGGTGACAGGTAGCAAGCTCACATCTCAAATCACAAAGGAAAACCTGAGTCTTTTAAAACCTCCAAGCCTGCCCCCAGTGACACTCTTCCTCCAGTTAGGCCACACCTCCTAACCCTCCCCAGACTGCCAACGACTGGGGACCAAGACCTTGTTGGAGAGGGCATCTCATCCAAGCCACCACAGGAAATATGCCTCAAGTCCGGCCCTAGGAGGGCAGCTGAGCAGGCGCCTCAAGCCCACATCTGTTTTCCCTAAGAGCCTTCCTTCCTAAGCCATCTCTATCTATTGTCATCTTCCTGTCGTGTGGTCTTCAAAGGTCAGGATATGGTCTCCACAACCGTCATGTTTGTCATTTCATTAGCCAAGTGTTCCTCCCACACCAGAAGATACCGCACGCCCTAGGCCTCCCACAAAGGAAAGGGTTCACCCGAAAGTTAAATGGCAAAGCCACACAGACAGGGCAGTGCCGTACAATCTGACTGGCAGAGAGAGCAGCCCAGGACCTTAGCATCTGATATTTTATTGTACCTTATTCTTAGAGCCTATGATGTATTTTTCTGTCTCATTTTATGCCAGGCATTGATTAATAAGCTTCATCAAAAAGAAAACTCACTGATTCAGCCCTGGGAACAACTTAGGTCTTATTTCTGGAACATCCAACCAGTTTCAGCAGGAATCAAATAGAGACAGTATACACCCATCGAAACCCGATGACCTCTGGCCTGAAATAGCACTCACCCTGGCCACAGCCTCGCTTCATGGTGTCTAGAGGATTGAACTGTGCCCCTGGTCAGAGCAAGAAGCAAACAGAGTGAATGAAATTACTTTGACAGTACCCGCTCTGAAAGACACCATGCTTTTTTATGTTTTAGATGGCATTGACTTATATCTGCAGTGTAAGCTGAGTCTCGTAGACTCAGCTGAGTTCCGAGCAAAACTATATAGAGTGCTCGAAAGCCTCAAACTGGGCAGAGGGGTCAGCAGAGCGGGATCCTCTCACCTAGCGCTTTCCTGCTCTCTTTCCCAGCGTCTCTCTATTTTTCCTGACAGCAGATGAAGGGGAAGTCTGGGTCCACAGTTCTCAGAGGGTTTGAAATGCCAAGTGAGTCTCTCCC